CCCCTTCCCTTCCAGCTCCTTCCGGCCCCGTGGCTTCTCATGCTGCTTGGATAAGCAGGGAGCCACAAGCCACAATCCTCCCCATAAAACGGAGAGCCACCGAACTTTGCTGTCGGCCCAGCTGACCCACAGGCATTGCTGTCTGACCTACCGGTGCACTCCAAGGACCACTGAGCCTAGTCTCCTGCTCTGTAGCTGACCCCTCCTGTGTGTGTTTGCCCCCTCAGGTACTTCAGCTGAAGCATCAGCTTCTGCTCCAGCCCTCTGTGTGTGTGTATTTCTGTTTCAAGTATGTTTCTTGTAAACAATATATTGTTGGATTCTGGTTTCTAATCCAGTCTACTGTCCGCTTCTGTTTTATAGGTGAATTCATGCTATTCACATTCATCTCTATGATTACTAACTGTGTACTTCCCTCCATCCTATTATCTTCTATTTATCCTCCTGTCTTTTCTTTGGCTAGGCAATCGGAGGTTAAGTGACTTGCCCAGGGTCACACAGCTAGTAAGTGTCAAGTGTCTGAGGCCAGATTTGAACTCAGGTCCCCCTGACTCCAAGGCCAGAGCCCTATCCACTCACCACCTACCTGCCCCCTTCTCTCTCTCTTTTTATGCTGACCCTTCTCTAAAGTCTGTTTAGCTTCTGACCACTGCCTCCCTTAGTCCACTCTCACTTTTATCATCCCCCCATCCCTTTCCCCTTGCTCCCCCAATTACAACATGAGTAAGGATGGTCTCACTTTTCTAGCTGTATTCTCTAGCTCTTAGCACAGTGATTGGCACATAGCAGACATTAAATAAACACTTTTTCATTCATTATTGGGGAAATAAGACAGATATACAGGTTATTCAATTTTCATAGGACCTTGGGCCTCAGAGGCCATGTAGCTCAACCCCACCACTCCATTTTACAGAGAAGAAACTAGGGCCAAGGAAGTTAAGAGACTTAGGGAGCTAGGTGGTACAGTTGATAAGAGTGGGGGACCTGGATTCAATAAGACTTGAGTTTGAATCCTGTCTAAGACATTTACTGACTGTATGACCTTGGCAATTCACTTAACTTTCTGCCTCAGTTTCCTCAACTTCAAAATGGGAATAATAATGATATAGACATAAAAATGGGGATAATAATAACTTCTACCTCCCAGGGTTGTTGTGAAGATATAATGAGATGATATGTGTAATAAGGCACTTTGCAAACCTTAAAGCACCACATAAGTTCTAGCTATTATTATCATTATTGTTCAAGGTTACTAAGGCAGTAAGTGGCAGAGGGGAGATCTGAACCCAGGTCTTCTGCGTCCAAAGCTCTTTGCACCGTACCGGGTAACTGTAACCTGCATCAGTGCAGTAAAGGGGTTTTTAACCATTTGTGGGTATGTCCCAAACTCTTGGCAGTCTGGGCAAGCCTGTGGACCCCTTCCTAGAATATGGTTTGTTACCTACATTCGTAATTGGAAAAAAATGCTATAAATTCACTTAGGGGTCAGTGAAAATAAAGATGTAATTTTGTTTTCCCATTTAAGTTCACAGGCTCCCTGAAATTTACCCCAAAACCCCAGGTTAATAGACTTGGAGTCAGGAGAAATCTGTCTTTGGATCACAGAGTCATAGCGCTGCATCTGGAAGGGACCTCAAGTGAGATAATATTTGTAAATCATTACAAATAATAATTTGGTACTTATCAGGCATTTAATAAATACTTCTTTCCTTCATGGAGGAAGGGTAGTTTTTGAGTTGAGTACAAAGGGGTGGATGGGGATTCTCCAGGCAAAGGGGCATGTTCCAGGAATAGGGAACTGAGGCAGGAGAGCACCGGGTGTGTTGGCTACCATGGAGTAGCCTGGGTTGGCAGGAGCTGTGTACATGCAGGACAATGATGTGAGCTAAGGCTAGAGAGCAACGTGGTACACTGATAGGAGCACTTAATTTTGAGTCGGAGGACATGAGTTCAAGTCCTGTCTCAGCTAGTCTCTTAGGGCCTCAGAAGGGGTTAGACTAGAGGACTTCTAATGTCTCTTCCAACTGTGAGCTAAAGGTGGCACCAGGTGGTAAAGAGCATTGAATGCCAGGATGAGGTGTTATTATACTTAGTAGACCATAAGGAACCACTGAAGATGTTTTAAAATTAATTTGTTATTGTAAACTTTAACTGTTGACCAAAAAAATAAAACATAAAATAAAGAAAAATTATACATAACCCTGGAGGATGGATCAATCAGACTGTTAACTGATTGGGTATGAGAGGGGTGGAAAAGAATTCCAAAGTTTCGGCCACAGATTCTTTGGCACAGAAAGGCGCCGTAGGGCCTGAGACACTGAAGAATTACAGAGCCTCACAGGTGGATGATAAATGTATGCTTTTTTCCTAGTCATTGAAAAAGATAACCAAGGACAGATCCCTGGGATTTTCCGTTAAAGCCCTCCTATCAAGGTGAAGTTGAGTTGGTGATAATTGTTCCCTATTGGATTTTAATGGCTTCTCTTCATTGGCTGGCCATTCATCCATTTCCAGGTCCTCCTAATCATCCTGATATCTGACCCACATTTCTCCGTCCTGTTGCTGAGCACAGCATGAGAGATTTTGTCAGATGCGAGGCTGAAATCTAGGTTAGTGGGCTGTTCAGCACTCCCCCTAGCTGCCATTTTGGTAACCTTGTCAAAAAGGGAAATGAGGTTAGTTGGGCATGACCTCCTTGTTCTCGATGGAGCTGTGCTGACTCTTCTAAGCTCCCCCTCTGAGGATGGAGCCTGGGAGATGCATCTGGTCTGTCACTGCCTGTGCTGGGTGACTTTGGATGGGGACAGAGCCTACTTGGATCCTTCATCCATAGAGGGTGGCTAGTGATCTTTACTTCTTCATCTCTCCTTTGAAGGACTTTGATCTCCCAACAAGAAGGCCAGGATGACCCAATCAGTGCCAGGCTTGGGAATCACAGCCCAACCACCCTTGGGCAAACCTCTTGCCCTCTGCATTCAAATGCCCATCTCCCTAGGCAGTGGCCTTATAGTGGCCAGAGGCACATGTGGTGGGTCTGTAGCAGGGATACTGAGCCTTTTTTTGATGTCAGCAAGCATTTATTAAGTACTTACTATATATCAGGTTCTATGCTAAGCACTGGGAATGAAAATATAAACAATGTCCCCATCCTTTCAGGCAGGCTGGTGAAGCCTGTGAACCCCTTCTCAGAATGATATTTTTAAAAGCATAAAATACATCGGATTTCAAAGGTAACCAGTTATATTGAAATATTTGTCAATTTTTTTAAGTTCATGGACCCCAGGCAGCTTCCAGACTTTCCATCTGGGTGGAGTGTTGGGGTAATAGGTTAAATCTGAAATCCATCCAGGAAGAGTTTAGATAAATTCATGGATAATTGTTTTATAAGAACTTAAAAAAAAAAGAACCTCTTTATTTATTTTTAGCATTCATTTAAAAAAAATCTTGAGTTCTGAATTTCTCCTTCTCACCTCTCCCTCACCCATTGAGAAGGCAAACGGTATCAATTATACATATGAAATGCAAAATGTGTTTCCGTATTTCTAACAACTTAATAAAGAAAGTTAGGCACGCTCTTCGCTCTTACTTTTCCAGTTCTGTCTGTCAGAATTCCCCTTCCTTTTGAGGCCCAGATCAGTTGCCACCTCTTCCAGGAAGCTTTCCCTGCTTCCCCATCATCCTCTCCTACCCCCAAAGCACCTCCTTTGCAATCTCTTGCACCAATAGCCACAGTCTACCTTTTAGTACAGTCATCTGTGTACCTGCCTTAGACTCTAAGCCCCTTGAGGCCAGGGACTATGACTTGGGCATCTTTGTAGTCCCACAGCACCAGCCGAAGGCCCTCTACATGGGAGGAGTAAGTGGCTTACTGTGTAACCGCTGACGGGCCCTTTCCTCCTCTCTGGGGCTCATAGAATTAAGAACCAGAAAGATTCTTTAAGATTATCTAGTTGAAATACAAGGTTCTAAGACATCTCCAAAAGTCTCATGATAGAAAATGCTATCCACATCCAGAAAAAGAACCATGGAGTTTGAATGAAGATCGAAGCATACTATTTGCTCTTTTTTTTTTTTTTTTTGCTTCTGTTTTGTTTTGTCTCCTCTTTCTGGTGGTTCCTCCTCTTGGTTCTAATTCTTCCTTACAACGTGACTAATGTGAAAATATGTTTAATGGGAATGTATACGTAGAGCGTATATTAGATTGCATGCCATCTTGGGGAGGGAGGCGAGGAGGGAAGGGGAGAAAATTTAAAACTCAAAAGCTTATGAAAATGATTGCTGAAAACTAAAACTAAATTAATTAATTTTTTAAAAAATTATCTAGTTGCAGAAGAAGATGCCCCAGAAAGGGGAAGGGATTGCCTGTACGTAGTCAATGACAGATCCAAGATTTCAGAATCACAACCTTTGACCCCAAATATCCAGTGGTCTTTTCCCTACCCTTCTCTGCCCAGTGAAGCAGCTTTTTTGAAACTTATTTTGTATTGAATGATGTCTCTCAGCCCCCACGTTTGGAATACTAGGGCTGGACCATGGCCTTGGTTCCATCCCTTAGGATGTGTGTGGAGCAGAGAGAGGGGACTAATAGAGGAATCCAGTCCTTCTCCAGATCAAATTGCTGTTGAAGGAAAGGAGAGGGTCTGGACTTTTTACCTGGCTAGCTGGAGACAGGAGCCACGAGAACTGGGAGGTGCTTAGTCCCACTCTGTGGGCCTCCGTTCCCCAGCTCTTTTTTCTTCCCTCCTCTTTTTGTCCCACTGGCAAGACCCGTGCTCAGGCATCAGCCTCCCCTCTCTGCCCATGGGTGAGTTTCCGGATCCTGGAAGACTCTGAGAAGCTTGAGTTTGACTTATGAAGAAACTGAGGCCCAAAAAGATGAAAGACTTGCTAAGGATCACATAGAGCCAAAATCTGGACCTGGGCCCTCCAGAAGGGATGGGCATGTGTGGTGGCCAGGGGTACAGAGCTTGAAGCTCGGCTCAGAGTTGTTTGGTGGTTAGTTTCAGAGCCTGCTGGCCAGCCAGAGATCCACCTGCGTCACTGACCTTCAACGGAAGCAGATTGGAGAGCTGTGCGCTCGGAGGCTTCAGAGGTGGGATACGGCCAGAGCCAGGCCCATCACCTGCGTCTCTTCTTCCTGATCCTTACCTCCCCCTTTCTCTCTCCCTCCCAGTGTCTCTAATCCTTTCCCCCTTTCCTCCTGTAACCTGTTTCCTTCATCTTTACTCCTCTCCTCCTAGCCTGGTTAAGAGGGCCAGAGGAGTTGGTAGAATAAGGTCCCAGAGGAGTCCCTGGTCTTACTGGGGAGACATGACCCTTCCCTGAGGGAGCCCTTGGTTTGAACTGGGGAACTGTTTTGGGAGGGAGGAAGGGATACTACAAACCTGCCCTTAAGTTCCATCAGAACATTACTCCCCTGGTACTGTTCTCCTTTGGGGTTGGTAGTTACATGGGTATGTCTGTGTCTTCTGCCACGTCATTGACTTTGGGGGATCCATAGTTTGGGGTGGGGTGGGCCGAGCCAGGTCTTTAGGGTGTTACTCTTTTACAGGATGCCTGTGCAGTATGTCATTGGTGAATGGGATTTCCAGGGCCTCACTCTCAAGATGGCGCCTCCAGTCTTCATCCCACGGCCTGAAACTGAGGTAGGAAAGCTGTCTGTGGCCATGAGGCCAGCTCTCCTTGGTGGGGGGGAGGTTTGTTGTGGAAGATCCGGTTAACGTTTGCAGTGGAAAAGATACTTGTTCATTCATTCACTTATTCTGTGAATATGTGTTCATCATCTGCTATGGGCCAAGCCATGAGCTGGGTTAGGTGTAGAAGAGGATGCAAGGATGAGTAAGGCATGGTTCCTGCCCTCAGGATGCCCATAGCCTAGCAGGAAAGACAAACTGTCTGTGTCATTGGTAGTTCCTAGGAATCTGTGCCAAGTGATAATGGGTTATAGCTTCTGTTTATGGGGAAGGAAGTAAGCATTTATTATGCACCTACTATGTGCCAGGCACTGTGCTAAGCACCGACAACCTTGTGAGGTGAGGAGTGCAAGGGTTATCCGTAAACTGTAAACTGAGGCACAGAGGTCATCAACTTCCCCCACGGTCACACAGCTGGGAAGTGTCAGAGCTGGGCTGCCAACCCAGGCCTTCTGATTTCCAATCCTGTGTTCCTTTCCACTGGGCCACACTGCACATGGAGGTAGATAGTAAGTGATTCAGGAATTTAGGGGCAGGAGGGCTCATTGAAGACTGGGGCTATCAGCAGAGCCTTCTTTTCTCAAGGGTAAGCATCCCAAGTTCCTTTTTGTTGTTGTTCAGTCGTTTTCAGTCGAGTCTGAGTCTCCATGATGCCATCTGGAGTTTTCTTTTTTTGCTTTTTGGTGAGGCAATCGGGGTTAAGTGACTTGCCCAGGGTCACACAGCTAGTAAGTATCAAGTGTCTGAGGGCGGAATCTGGGGTTTTCTTGACAAAGATGCTGGAGTGGTATGTCATTTCCTTCTCCAGCTCATTTTACAGATGAGGAAACTGAGGCGAACAGAATTAAATGACTTGCCCAGGGTCACACAGTAGTAAGTGTCTGAGGCCAGATTTAAACTCAGGAAGATGAGTCTTCCTGACTCCAGGACCAATGCTGTGTGCACTATGGTGCCACCTAGCTGTTCCAAGTTCCTTTAGCTAATCCTTATATGACCCAGATTCTAGAACAAGCCTCATCCTTATCTATGTACTTTGTTTCCCTGTTAATTCCAGCATAGGCTTTTGTCTTGTACCTGAGGCAGCTAGGTGGTGCCACAGTGCATAGAACTGTGGACCTAGAGTCAGCGAGACCCGAGTTCAGATCCAGCCTTAGACACTTACTAACTGTGTGACCCCGGGCAAGTCACTTAACCGCTGCCTGCCTTAGTCTCCTTAACTGTAAAATGGGGATAATAATAGTGCCTACCTCGAAGGGTTGTTGTGAGGATCAAAAACACATAGCACAGTGCCAGACACATAGTAGATGCTTAGTAAATGCTTATTCCCTTCCTTTTCTCATATTTCCCTGTATGTTCAATGACTTAGAGTCCTGCACATAGTAAGTACTCAGTAAATATTTGTTGAAGCTGCCCAAAAGGACAACAATGATAAAATCACAATGCATTTAATTCAATTCAACGAAGATTTACTAACTTCCTGCTATGTACAAGGAACACAGTGAAAAAAGGAAGAGATCCTGCCCTCCAGGAGCCTGTAATTTGCTGGGGGTGGGGGTAGGGGTTCAATGATTGCACAGATAAGTAAACAAAATTACATAGAAAAGAATTTCAAGAGCAGCGAACATTAACCACTGGGAGGTTCAGAGTCAACATTAACCACTGTGGGTTTCATAGTTAACATTAACCACTGATGCATTCAGAGGCAACTGTAACCGCTTCGAGGTTCAGGAAAGGTCTATAGGAGTACCTAAAAGCCCTTGAACTGGGCCTTCAGGGAGCTGGGAATTCTAAGAGACAAGGAGGAGGAGGAATATGCCAGGCGTGCTTCATCGCCTCTACAAAGACCTGGAGGGTAGAGATGGAATGTCGTGAGCAGGAACTAGCAGGCTGGTTTGACGGGAACAGAGAGTACCTAAAGGGAAATGAGAGCAGATAAGACTTGGCTGGGACCTAGATTGTGGAGAGCTTTACAAACCAGGGGGAGAAGTCAAAGATTTTGTCCTAGAGGTTCGTCAAAGGGAGCCTCCAAAGATTCTGGAGAAAGGGGAGCGACGTGGTTAGATCTGTGTAAGAGGAATGTCAGCATTAGGCAGCTATGTGGAAAAGGATTGGAGAGGGGAGAAACTGGAAGAAGGGAGATCAGTCAGGAGACGGAGAGGTGACGAGAGTGGATCCAGGTTGTCACTAGTCAAGGGGATCCAGGAGTGATGGTAGACCTAGAACCTAGAAGTGGTGGCATTTGAGTTGGGCTTTAAAAATGGATAGGGGGGGCAGCTAGGTGGCACAGCGGATAGAGCACCAGCCCTGGATTCAGGAGGACCTGAGTTCAAATCCAGCCTCAGACACATAACACTTACTAGTTGTGTGACCCTGGGCAAGTCACTTAACCCCATTGCCTAGACAAAAAAAAATGGGTAGGAATCCGATAAGTGAATAGGGAAGACATTCTAGCATATCTAGGGACAGGGCATGTTCAGGGTGCAGAGAGCTATCCATTTGGCTGGGATAGAATATGGGGAAGGGAGCAATAACTTTTGAGGTGGGAATGGTCCCATGTTGTATAGGGCCCTGAACACAAACAAAAGAGATTGCACCTTGCTCTCCAGGGTAGGCGTTAGGTAGTCATGGAAAGGTTTTGCACAAAGGAATGACATGACTGATCTGTGCATGAGGAAGCTAATTCTGGCCAAGTGAATAATGGAAGGATAGGGGGAGGAGCAGTGGGTGAGCAGGTAAGGTGGAGGCAGGAAGCCCTGCTAGCTGTTGTAATAATCCGAGCAGGAGGTTTTAGGGCCTATATATTTTAAAATTTTTTTTAGTATTTTATTTTTCACCAGTTACATGCAAAAACTTTGAGTTCCAAATTCTCTCACTTCCTCCCCCCCAACCACCCTCCATTGAGAAGGCAAGCAATTCAATGTGGGTTGTACATGTGTAGTCATGCAAAACATTTACATATTAGTCATGTTGTGAAAGAAAACATAGACCGAAAAAAAAAACCACTTTAAGAAAAATAAAGTTAAAAAAAGTGTGCTTCAATCTGTATTCAGACACCAGTTTCTCTTGGGATGGATAGCATTTTTCATCATAAGTCTGTCAGAGTTGGCTTAGGATAGCTATGTCATTCACAGCTGATCATCTTACAATATTGCTGTTACTTCGTACAAATTATGTTTCACTTTGCATCAGCTCATGTAAGTCTTTCCAGGTTTTTCTGAGAGCATCATTTCTTATGGCATAATAGTATTCCATCATAATCACATAGCACATTTTGTTCAGCCATTCCCCAATTGATGGTCATCCTCTCAATTTTCAATTCTTTGCCACCAAAAAAAGAACTGCTCTAAACATTTTTGTACATAGAGGTCCTTTTCCTTTTTTGTTTTTTTATCTCTTTTGGGATACAGACCTAGTAGTGGTATTGCTAGGTCAAAGGATATGCATGGTTTTATAGCCCTTTGGACATAGTTCCAAATTGCTCTACAGAATGGTTGAATCAGTTCACAACTCCACCAACAGAGCATTAATATTTCATTTTCCCCTCCAACATTTGTCATTACCCTTTTCTGTCCTATTAACCAATCTGATAGGGATGAGGTAGTATCTCAGAATTGTTTTGATTTGCATTTCTCCAATCCATAGTGAGTTAGAGCATTTTTTTCATATGGCTATAGATAGCTTTGATTATCTGAAAGCTGTTCATATCTTTTGATCATTTGTCAACTGGGGAATGGCTCTTATTTTTATAAATTTGACTCAGTTTGCTGTATGTTTGAGAAATGAGACCTTTATCAGAGAAACTTGCTTCAAAATTTTTTTCACAGTTACTATTGTTAACTGTATTTCTTTTAGGGTCTCTATTGGGGTGGCATCAATGAAAGTAGAGCAATGTGGTAGGGTGGAATGGGTACCTGCTTCAGAGCTGCCTAGAGCCGAGTTCAAATCCTGGCTTAGCCATGTACTACTTATATGACCTCGATCAAACCATTCACTTCTGGATTTCCATTTCCTAATCTGTAAAATGAGAGGTATGTACTAGGTGACCTTCCAGCTTTTAATCCATAATCTGATAATATGCTTCTGATCATTGGTTTATGGATTGGGAACCAGGTACCTCAGGGGCCATCTTATTCATTTTATGATTGGAGAAATTGAGGACTAAGAAAGTTAAGTGACTTGCCCAAGGTCACACAGATAGCAAATATCAAAGGTAGGATCTGAACCTAGGTGCTTGAGAAAAGAGGCAAGATTGGAAAAATGTCAGGGTAGAAATGATGACTGTACATGAGAAATGAAGCGGCAGGAAGATGATGCCAAGGTTTTGAACATCTGGGCCAATGTTCTCAATAGGCACCTCTGAGCTCTAAAATTCTGTGATCTGAGGCTATTTTCTCAATGTCTACAGTGAAGAGTGGAGTGACTTTACCCATCCTGAACCTATCTGGCAAATGTGGATTGATGATGACCGTGTGCTACCAGCAGAGGGCACTCTGGTCCCATCCATTCAGCTGCCAAATTCTCTGTGAGAGATGAATGTTTCTACTTCTAAGAATTATTTTTCTTTGGTTTACTTATTAAACCCTTAATGAAAGAGGGGAGGAACTGAGAACAGTAGGAGAGGTATGGATTATGAGAGGGGAGGAAAGTCACCCCTCCAGGACTGTGATGGGGCGGGCGTCTGTCCACTCCTGAACACAGACATAAGTAATTAAGGTCCCTCCTTGTATGTTGTCATCAGGGAGCCGCATGACAATCCCGGGGAGAACATTAGTAACCTTCGCTCTCATCTCACTAGTAACTCAAAGTTTCTGAAGTGCACCCCCATAACAGCACCAGGAAGACAGGCCAGATCCCCATTTTACAAACAAGGAAACTGATGCTCTGGGGCTTGCCCAAGGACCAAGAAGGCATCAGAGCTAGAACCAAAGTTACAGCTCCTGTTCTCAGGTTCCACTTTCCCACTGGGCCCTCTTTGTGCCTGTGGGTAGATGATACATAGGGAC